GGCAGTGGGTTCAGGTCTGACCTCAGCTCTTTGCTGCATGTTGTCCCCCTGTCCTCCCTGAGTTTCCGATCTCTCTTCAGCTGTCCTATCAAATAAAGACAAGAAAAGGCCCAAAAAATAGTGTTAAAAAAATGTATTAATTAATCAATCAATCCAAGAATCACATGAAATGTTCAAAACCAAACATTACTTCCACCAACAGGTCAAAACAAAATCAAACGGCTTCCTTCTGGCCCAGCTTAGCTAAGCATAAAGTCTGGAAGTGAAGGGAAAACAGCCTGGCTCTATTCAAAGTTAACAAAATGCATCTTTTAGCACCCCTTAAGCAAAATAATGAAGAAGTTATAAGTTGTTTTATTTTAATCTATTCAAAAATTGAATAGCTGTACAAACAACATGTTAACAAATCTTGATGCATGGAGTGGTAACTCCCTGGTGTCTCCTCTGGTTGTCACATAGCAGTGATGCCAGCCCCATGGTCCATAAATAACCACAATGTGCTGTTGAACAAATGAGATATAGCATATCTTATATAAGTGATATGTGAACGCAGATGAGCTCGTAAAATGTTTTGCTATCTTTGAATACATCCAGGTTAATGGTTCCTCTGTTTCCTGTCTTTATGCTAAGCTAAGCTAATAGTCTCCTGGCTTCGAAGTAAGCCTTTAGACATTAGAGCAAGGAATTTACCAAAACATTTCCTTTAGTGAATGAGTAGTTTGTGATCATACAGTGTATATGATGTTAAATATATCTACCACATAGGCCGACATGAGAAACACTATAAACCCCACCTGTACACTCTGTAGCAATAAAATACAACAGCCTTACAATAAATTCCACCTCAGTGCGGCTCATAATGTTCAATTTGTCCTGAGACTCAGAGGTGCTGACACAACTCAGAGGGGATTTTCTCAGGCTATAATTTGTGTTATTGTTGTTTTAGACTGCCTGTTGTACGCCATTGTTGTGTCCAGCTCACAGAAGCACTTATACTGTCATCCTGCAGGTGAAGAGAAACCGACACAGATGGAATGCTTGTTGTGTATGTTTAGCCTACATGAAAGCGTATGTGTGTGAGTGTGCGCCAGAGATTGGATTAGCGCCTGCTGTTTATCAGCTGTATTTGCTGTATCTTGCAGAAGGTGGTGATGATAACAAGAATAGTGTCATTGTGAAATCATTTCAAAAGGTGGTAGATTTGCTAAATTTTGCACCTGCTCTGGTTACAGCTCACGACAGCATGCTGTTTCTAATGCCAATCAAAAACAGTTTATTCAAAACCATCTAATCAGAAGTACTCCATATCTTAGCAGTAACTTATTTTCCCTAAGTTATAATAAATAAATATTTAACATAGCCCAAATAAGCTGTCGTGAACTCTTCTGATAAAGATAGAAGTGTAACCAGTTCACTAACAGTGTGTGGGTTTTTGACTACTTCTAAGCAGCCTTTTTTATTTTCCTCTAACATGCATCTCTTCAACACTTAAAGCTTAGTATATGCCACATCAACAACTGAAACTGACAGGAGAGTTGACACCCTGTCTAAGCAGAGTGTAATGCGGCAAAATGATGAGAAGACTTAGGAGAGGTAAAACAGGGGGCATACGTTTCTGTGCGACTGTTTTTCCCAGATGGCCATGTGGAGGGAGCTGTGTGATCAGAGATCTAATAAACCCGTGGATATGCTGCAGCGCCTTTCCTGGGAGGGAGCTGTTACCATAGCAACCATACCACAAGCGCTGCAGGTTAATGGTGGGAAATTATGATTTGCTGGTTGCAACTAGCACACAGTGTGACTGCTGAATCCACTTTGAGCCTTCCTGGGGGAGGCAGAGTGATACGAGCGGCCCCCACAGAGCCGTTTTTGGACAGCACCAGACTCTTTGAAAAAGTTCCAGTTAGTCTCCCAGCCAAATGAATTCAATTTCACTCATTTGTAATCTTTATTTGCTATGTACTCAGATGGAATCTTTCAAAGAGCTATCCTATTAGTGGTTTCTAATCCTTAGGATGACTGAAGTTTACAGAAAAACACTTTGGTGTACTGAGTTATGTAGAAGTTTAAGATCACAATTGGTTGTTGGTTGCAATAACATTTGTAGTTTAATAGCGCTGTAGCATGAGTCATCATAGCAGCAGGGATGGAATATCGATTCTGCAGCCTAGAGAGAGGTTGAAGTCCTCCAAGCATGAGTCTCTTTATTAAAGAAACAGTTTGACATGTTTTTAAATAAAGCCTCATTCGATTTCTTGCTATGAGTAAACTGAGATCCCTTCCATTTTATGCATGGAGTCAGCAGTCAGTAAGCTTAGATTAACAGGAAGACTGGAAAGGAGGATATATTCAGGCACATATAAATAACTGTTAAACAAAGACTCGTCATATTTACAAAGTTATTAACTCATAGGGCTATCAAACAATATGATATTTTTTGCTAGGTTTCAATGGTTAATTGCGACTAATCACATTCTAAATCGCATGTTTGAAATTCCATTATTTCACATTTAGAAATAAATTGTTAGGCTTTAATATTTAATTTTTGTACTGTCTTAAGCAGAGAGTAGCCAACGTTAATTGCTGTTTGAATTCAACCCTGCTTTTATTTTGAAATAAAGTAAGGACCTTCTGGTAGATAGAAGGTTACAACATTAAACCACTGAAAAAGGAACTCATTATGGATCAAAAACTTAATGAAAACATCTTAAAGGAATGATAAAAAGTGAAATGTTTGATGTCAAGAAGTGGATATTACTTCTGATTCGTTCCCTGAGCTGTCTGAAAGTTTTTTTTAAAGGGTAATGAGCTATTCAAAGATGCAGAAGTGTTGATCTTTTTCATCACTGTGATTACAGAGATACGCTGCACTGGCCTATCCACAGTGCGCCTTCGGGACAAAAAAACATGGGATCAATCGCGATTATAAAAAATGTATGCATTCATTTCAGACCTTAATCAATCGCTATTAACTAGTTAATGCGAGCAGCCCTTGTTATGAATAACCCTTTGCCCATGACATAACCTCTTGGTCTTGGTGCTAAGCTAAGTTAAGATTCTCCTGATTATAGCTTTCTTTTTATGTAGCCTACATGTCTTGTCATATCTCTTGCCAAAACTGAAAGAAGATTCATTGCCAAAAAGATGGAATAAAACATATTTTTGAAGTGAAAGAGTTAAATAGTTTATGTATGAAAGAACAGCTTAAACGTTTAGTTTATAAAATTCATTTCTTCTGACATCTTAAGGTAACAGTTTGCAACATGGACTCTCACGCTGCCCACTAGCGTTAGGTGGAAAGTGTTACGCAGACACGCACATGCAGTGCTCACGACGGTGTAGGCTACTACAACAGCTTTGGCGTAGATTCCACAGAAGTATAAATCAGGCTTACACTAAGATAGAAGTGGATTCCACCCACAAAGGACCATTTTCTCTTACTACGTCAATGCATACTTCAAGTCTCCATGAACAAAAAATGATGCTGTTCAAACAATACTTTGACTTTAAATATGAACAATTGAGTGTGTAACACATTGTAGCCTATAGCATGACTAAATAACGAGTAGGTTTGACCTGGCAGACGTAGATCCTATCTGCTTATGATATCCAGCGTCTCGAGCTTTTGTCATCTTTAAACTTGCAGAACTTCTTCAACGAGGGTGATGCACTTTAACTCTGTGCCAATACAGAGTGTGAAACTGATGTTTTGCTCCAAGAGTTGAAAGCTTTTGCTAATTTTTTAACTCTTTCCCCTCATTCGGCTATTGCTTCACTAAAAAAAAGATTTAAGGATTGTTAGATTAGAGTTGTGTTTGTTAAGATTTATTTTATGTCTCAATGACCCAATGGTTTGTGTATTCTTTCCTAATATTTAAAAAGTACAGCTTTGGTATGCTTTAAGCAAACATTTAACCTTTGTTAAGAATTATTTTATATGGGATTAAATTTACCTTGGCTGGTAATGTATTCCAGAGTTAAAAACTGGAAAAGTTCATTGAGTATTTAAATGTTTTGTTATAAAAACCAATGACCCAAGATGCCCAAAAAGATGTCAGCTTTGCTGAACCTGTTTGTGTTGCGGATAAAGCTTTAGGATAAATGCATCAAACTGCATTTACTATTCATGCATTTCATTAATAAGGCATAGACGTGTCAAACATGCTTCTCTGGATTCTTTTACGCCCTAAAAAGCACACCAAGACTATAATCTTGGTTCATGTAGATATCCAATATTCTGCTTAAAGATTATTCAGCAGAGATGGAGGAAGTCGAACCTGCCTGACCCTCCATATGCTACAAATATGTGTTCTATGGAATATAATGAAAATAAATGTAGATTTCCTATACAAATATTTATTTGTTTGTTTGCACAAAATACATGCAATAGTCCAACACATAAAATACAACAGAGAGGAGACAGGCTTGTGGTGGTGAGGTAAAAAAAAATGTGAGGAGGGCTTATAATGGAACCTCACCATTTAAATACATCTTGCTTTGTGATATAGCTTGTAGGTGACAACTGTCTGGTGCACTTTCCTGTTCTGACACTGAGACAATCACACTCCTTCTTTGTAGCTTTACAGAGCAGATGAAGAAGCAGTAGTAGACAGCTCCCAAAGCAGCTCGTCAAACAGCAAGTGATGAAACACTGTCATTTTCACTGCTCCCCTTGGAGAAGGGGGGGGAGGTGCAAACAGGGACAGGTCTGAAAGAAAATATTTATCTCTCATCATGTGCATGTGTATGTGTGTGTGGGAGGAGGGGGGAAAGAGAGGAGGGGGATTTATAAGATCATTTTTAAAGTCTATGAGTTATTAATAAGCAAATCATTTAGTGAAGAATAACTTTGGAAACAAGGTTTTCCCTTTCTAAATATGAAAATAAAATCAGTGTGAAGCTCATTTCTGTCATCAACAACATTAAAAACATTCAAACAATGAGATCAGCTCTGTGCAGTCTGATGTCATTGGCTCCACAATCACTGACAGCATAATATTCGCACCTCGAAGCTCATGTGCAGCAGGGTGGGACTCTGGTTCCCATGGTGCATGTTGATGACAGAACAGATGGTGAGGGTTGCCTGTTTTGTCGAAGTCAGAGTCGTTTGAGTCCAGCTGACCTGCGCCAGGCAGCTGCTCGTCACGGTGCACCGCTGCAGCGCTTGGACTGCTGAAGTGTCAGTGTGTCTCCAGCAGCACCGGGGAAAGGTTTCTTTTTTTCCTCCACCGATGTGATTCATTCTCGTTCTTACGGCTGATTATTTTTATTCTGAAATAAAGGCTACTCTTCTCCCATCGCGCATTATCCTGGAGATGCGGATACCGCATGGGTCAAACACAGTAGCCTGCAGCAGCTTCGCGCAGAGAGGATACGGAGCTCTAAAGGTGAGAACAAATCTTCGTGGGTTATGCATACAGGCTTCTAAAATTGTGATACATAGTCTATCCCTTTTATTTATTTTGGATGGTTACCTTTATTGATGTTGAGTAGAGAATGATGATAAAATGATGAAAATTCAGTCCTGATCGATAAAAAAAGTCTTCATTTTCATGATTTCTTTCTTTTCTTTTTGGAAATGCATAGATCAACAAAAATGAAACAATAACGCGTTTCTCCTCATGGCGTGGGTCCTCGTGCACCGCGTGTTTATACCGCAGAGAGGACTTATATAGTGTTTATTAAAGCATAAACTAAGAAAGATTTTATTTGGATAGAATATTGAATCCAATCAAGTTTATTCATGTTGATCGATGTCAAATCATCATTTAACTGCGATGCGAAACAGAAATTGACAATTGAACATAATGATTTGCAAGGACACACGCCTCTGCATGATACTAAACTCGTGAGTGTTACTGTATTTTTCAGCTCTAGACAAGTGATAAACATGATTTAGTCAGATATCAGATTAAGGGAATCAAAGAAAAAAAAAGGACTAGATAAATATTTGCACCACACTCATTAAGTTTCGATTTTATTTTATTTGATTTACTTTATTTTAATACTTTTTTTTTTTGCTATAAAATCCAAACTTCAGTGTGATTTGTGGCTCTCTGAAGTGCTCATAATTAAACCTGCAGCCCTGACATTTCACTGCTCTGTGACACAGGGTTCACCTAACAGTGGAACATTTACACAAACTGCAGCATCACTCACAGTGCAGACAGCAGCTGAAACAGCAGCTCTGGGCTCAGTTGCTCCATAGAGCCTATTTGCATGTCTAAGGGTCAGGAAATTGGCAGATGTCTGAAGTGAAGACACTGAGGAGAAAGAAAAAGGCAATCCAGTGTTTTCTACTCAGAAGTTTGAGACATCGGGGGAGTGTGGTGGTATTGTTGGGGTCACCTTTGTCAAGTGGGCTCTGTTGTTTCAGCTGCTGCATTAAACCGGCACCTGTTACTGAGGTTATATCACAAAGAACTCACATAGGAGTTAGTTTCATCAAGTTATATTAAAAGCAGTAAAGACATATTATTCATTTCTTGTTTTCTACCTTACAAATAAACGTAGACTTCTTTGTCTTGGGAGTAACGCAGATAATTGATACATATGTCACCCAATGAGCCAGAGTTTAAAGGGCCATGGCACCTTCCCCCAATCTTCACAATACACAGTGACGTATCTCCTCAGCTGGTAGTGAGTGAGTGTGAGAACCTCCACAAACAAAGACTGTGTGTTTGTGTGTGTTTGGGCAAGAGCCATTGTGTCATCAAGCCTTACTTCTAAGCATGTGCTGGTACTGAGGTTTCCATCGAGGCGGAGGCGATGGTGCAACAGCTTGACCTTCAGCCTTTTGTGTGCGTGATCTGAATGGGCGAATATGGGAATAAGAGGGGGCATTTAGAAGTTTCATTAAAAAAAAAAACTGAGTCAGCTATTTTTTCATCCTTTGTTTTTCTAAGCAATGAAATGAAAAATTAATCTAGATGGAAAGGGTTAGAAAAAGACTTTGACTCATTGCTTAAAGAAACTATTTTGAAATAGAATCCCACTGAACTCATATGAGATTAAAGCTGAAAAACTAGTACACCAAACTGTGAAGCAGATCAAGCAGAGAAACATTTATGAAAATCAGGTTTAGTTTGATCCTTTGTGGTGGTGGAGGTCAATTTTCATTGTGTGAGTTTCTCTTCTCTCGAACCTGCATTGTTTCAAAAAGGGATTCCCCTGAGATTAGTAACCTTGGCACTGTCAGCTTTATTGATTGATTCTCCAGTGATGACAAATTGGCTTTTCACCAGCAGTGCAACTGTAAAGACGGATGAAGTGTGTGTTTGTGTGTGTGTGTGTGTGTGTGTGTGTGTGTGTGTGTGTGTGTGGGACGGGTGGGGGTCAGGGGAGAAAGCGAGAAAAAAAAGAGAGCCAGAGGAGAAAAATTAGATAGTGCATTCTTATTCTGTCTTTTTAAACCTTAATAGAGTCTGAAGACACAATGCATAACTTAGCCTTCTTTAAATCCATATGTGGTTTTCAGATTTTACTCATTTTACCTTCAGGCCTGTTATGTTTTCAGCTCAGCGGTTTCCTCCTGTGGCCTTCTCATTGAAACAGAGCTCCCCATCCTCTCCCTCTTTACTCTCTCTCTCCTCTCTGACTGAGTGGACACTCATCCTTCTTCTCCTCCTCCTCCTCCTCCTCCTCGGCTCCACACCTCTGCCATCAGCAGCTGCACCAAAGCTCTGTGTGATGTGGAGGGAGATGCTTGCATACTAATGGAGCAGAACAGGACATCTCACAGGCAGGCCAGCGCAGTAAGGACATGGAGAAAACATCAGCCAGGAGTACTTAGCTTTCAGGCCCTGCATCATAGCTCTGGTTTGAAAGTTGTATTTCAAATCTGATAGCTTTGGTGAAAAAACTTAGAGAAAACTCTTATTACAAAGGTGCCGTATCCTGTAGTCACCTTCTTGGACATTAAGCATTGCCTTTAGCTTCCTGATGCCACTAATAGCTGTCTTCCTGTGGTTATGAAACAAACATGCCAGTGGCATAGCTGTTGCTATGGTGACGGCATGTCTGCGAGCCTGTTGAGGGGCTGCTGATTCAGAAACACTGCTTACATTTTGCACCCGATGAAAAGGGCCTGAGGACTAAAAGGGGGAGCAAAGCACAGAGTCCTATAAAAAAAGATGCAATCTGCTCTCAAGTGAGGTTCCTCCTGGCTGCACCAGTGGCACATGCTGAGGTGTTTATTAGCAGTGTTACATGTGAATTCTGAGAAAGTTTGAAACTAAATTTAGTTAAAGACAAGTTCTTGAAACCTACCAAAGAGATTTGATTTAAGGCCCTGCAAAACAGAGAATCTTTTTTGGCTTCTTCGACTGAAAACAAACACTGCCGCCTGCACACAAAGACCAAGAGTTCACAGATTTAAAGAGAAATGCTCTCTGCATTTAACTGCAGGACCGTGTTTCTCTGTTTAAGTTTATTGCTCCCTGTGTTTTCCCAGAGATCCTGGCATATAAATACATTTATGAGGCCACAGTATCAAGCAGACTGAGCTCATTATGTCCCACAATACCATCTCGCCGTCTCACTTTGATCCTCCAGGCCTGTGATGCTCTGAGGATAAATGCAAACTTAGTTAAAATAACAGATACTGTAGATGTATGGTTGTGTGTGTGCATGTGTGTGTTCTGTGTATGTGTGTGTGTGTGCATGGATTAAAAACCTCATAAGGATTGGGTGGGTAAAGACAGTAAATCCCTCCTGCTGGAGGCGTCAGATCAGACAGTCAACTGGATAATGCCGAGCTGTTGAGGGATTTTTCTGTTTCCTTCCAGTGCTTTGTGTATGCATGCATGTCAAATACGAGTGGGAAAACAAACTGTGTGTGTTTTGTGGCAGTTTGGAGATGGATGCATTGCAGATATACATATGTATATGCATGCATTTTTAATGTGAATCCTGCAGTGTAATTGCCCTTCATAGCTCTGGCCAAGAGATTAGCGGTAGAGTTTCAGGATACAGTTGCTGGTGCCTGGTGCACAACTGGTCAGATAGTGCTTTGATAGTGAGAGAATTAATCACAATGTGTGTCACATCCCAGAGAACAACATTGTTATTTCAACAAAGTGACTCCGTACAGCATCATCTCAGTCCCTCTTCAGTATGATCCTGTAGGAATACACTTCTTCTCTGGTGTAATTACTGTCTTGTATGGAGAGAAGAGTCATTGCAAGACTACCATAGACTTCGATCAAAATAGAAAAAAACTGAACAGAATATAAATCCTATTTGTATCCTGGTGAGGGAAAAAACAAACAAACACAAACAATATGATTTGCATAGTAGCAAACTTGGAAGTGTTTGATGAGTTGTAAAAGATTGTGAACATCAACAGTTATCATGTGTAGCCAAACATAGGACTAAGTAATTCGATAAAACTATAATTTGTGTAATATTTGCCCTTATAATGAAAGTCAGCTTTAGTTTTATTTGATCTAAATAAGAAAGTCATTCTTGTATGAAGGTTCTTCGTACCTTTTCTTTGGATTTTTATTTATTTTTATTTTATTTCATGTTGTATGTATTCTTGTATGTTTAAATAATTCTATATAAAAATGTGCCAGGATGAACAAAATATGTGATGAAATATGACAACTTGTAATGTAGTAAAACAGCCTGCAATAAAGTATTTTTAAAAAAGTGTGAAGGTTATGCCACTTATTCGATAGATGCTTTGAGGAAAATTTTGGTGATAGAGCTGTGAAGTTTAGTTTGTTGTATGCCATCAAATGAAAGCTATTATCTTCAAAATGTCAACAATTTCTGGCTTAAGTACTTAATCCAGGGAAGCAGAGCAGGATACTTTATTTAAACCCTAGACTATCAGGAGTCAGGTAATATGGGTTATGTGTAAAGTGAGGGATCTCATATCCGGCCAGCATAGCTTGGCTTTAAGGTATCCTAAAGTATGATGCTTCACTCCAACCATCAGTAGAGCTGCTCTGTGCCAAACAATAGGTACCTGAAGTATGCTTGTGCCTGTAAGTATGGATTAGCGTTCTGTATTAATAATGAAGTGGGCCATCAGTGAAAAAGAACATATGTGCTCAGCAGAGCCTCCTTGGGTCACTAAGGTCAACACGTACGCACAGTGAGAGGTAGGTGGGAACGGATGCAGATCCCCACAGTGCTGCCAGTCTGCCAGAAACTTAGTGCCAGGTGTCTGAGTTTTATGGCCTCAGTATGAAATCAGTGATTACTCTGCCTGCCTCTTCCTATTTGATACCTGAGCATGGAGAAAGACAGAGACAGACAGATATGAATACATAAATGTCTATAAATCAAAGTGTATTAACGGGCAGGGAGCTTCATTTAAAATAAATTTGGCTGTATCGTTGAAGAAACTAAATGATGGACAATTAAAAGCAGAAAGAGTTGCCACGTGATTAGCAGTTATCATAGCACAGTGTAGATACTAAGCTACGGCCCTGAGGAACTGATGCAGGGCCGTTGCCAAACTTTAGTCACACTGAAGAAATCAATTAGATCAGCCTGAGTGTGACCAAGTCATTGAAGGCCCTGTAGCCACCTTTTATCACGCATCAAATGTGTCTTCACTCCGAGGGAAACAAACATGGACAAGCTGTGATGCTTTATCTTTCTACTGCATGTCGAAGCTGCTTCGACCATGCAGTGAGTGACACACTTCTGACATACTTCATATATATCACATTTTCAGATGAATCTGTTGATGCCATTTTTGCCACACCATAGTGTTGCACTCTATAGTGTAGAGTTGCATTGGTTAAAAAAAAAAAAATGTCAACACATTGCAGGACATGAACTGACAGAACCGAAAAGGGAAAGAAAACAATCTGTATGTTAATATAAGAGAAACTTGTCGGTTTTCATGTAAAACAAAATAATCTCTCCCTGTTGTGTGAACACACACACACACACACACACACACACACACACGCACTCTCTCTCTTACATAAACACACACACCCAAATTAATGCAAAGCCTCAGTTTATTTGTGAGGATAAATCTGAGTTTCTCTGACTGAGTCACACTACAAGCTGACACTGTGGTGCTTAGTTTTATTGAGTGAGAGAAAGCCACGAGTATCTTTTTCTGTCCCCCTTGACAAATTAAACTAACACAGAAACTGCCTATTTTTTTGGTTGTTGAATAATTACCACTTTTGCCAAATCTCTCATACATACATACAGTCAATAACTGACACACACACAAATGATTGAGTCAGCAGATAAAGTTGTCTATTTTTTGTAAAATAACATCACAAATGACAGTGAAGGCATAAAATAGTGCAATTCATATGGGTATGAAGTCTGTCTGAGCACTCCAGTCTATCTCTGCTTGTCTTATATCAGTCATGGAATTCTCCCATCACAGTACATCCTCAACACTTGCCCTTAAAATGTGTACAACTGTTATCCACTGGCCTGTATCATGAGTAGTAAGTGATTAACAGTGAAGAGCACATACTCCATGATTATTAAACCTGTTGTGTAATGGGCTCACAGCCAGAGCTGCCGGCTGTGCCCACCCCACACTTGCTCAAGAGGATCACTGATACCAAGCTGATATGCAGATAATCTACCCGGGGCATAGAGAAATACATGTTGGTAATCTCTAAAGAGACAGCCAGCAACACATCAGGGAGGCAGTGCTTAAATCAAACTATTCATGATACTGATAAATACAGAGCGTATTTCACCAAAACTTTACATCGTTCTCATAACGCTAATATGGGGAGTTATACATTTCAGGCCATTGTTGAGACTAGTTTCTATCCATCATGTAAAGAAACAGAACCTCTAATTTTCATTTGTGGAACAATAAAAAGTCTAACCCTGACCCTAGTCTTAAGTTGTCGTTTAGCATGTATGGTCTCAATGTCATTCATAGCTGTCTTCTTTTTTTAATTTATCAATTCACAAATCGTGGCTGGCTGTGTAAGAGATCATTAATTGGTTGTAAATAATGTTGACATGATTGCAGGATAAAAAGTACATTTGAAAGATTCATTCTGCCCCGTCCGACACATCAAATTACTCCCTATAATATATGTGGTATAGCACTGTGGAAAACGGCCACTCACCTCATTTATTACCCCCTACAAAGAAACCAAATATGACGCTGTGACTGTCTAGCATCATTTTTTGCAGTTTAATTTCCTTGCTGTTATGTGTTTGACTAACTGTTGGCATGCAGATTATAAAAAATCCCTCATATTCAAATCGCAGGCTTTAACATTTCTGGGGGTTTTTTTTGTGTTTTTTAGGCTTAACAAGTGACGTTTGGACCAGATGATCCGCTGCCCTGACTTTAGCAAATAACTTTCTCCTGGATAAGAGATCACCGCTTTGGAGAGTGCCTACAGCATCTTGTAAGCAGTATCTAATGCTCATGAACCTTACCTGCAAGCCTTTTCCCAGAACCCTGCCTCTTGTCTAGGCTTTGTCTGAGCAGAGAGAGCAACATGGCAGTGAGCTCAAAGCCCTGGCCTCCTCTGCTATGGCTGTGCATGGGATTGATTCTTTCCTCTTTGTCGCCTATACTCAGCAAAGAATGTCCCCATTTGTGTGTCTGCGAGGTCCGCCCTTGGTTCACACCCCAGTCCACCTACAAGGAGGCAACCACAGTGGATTGCAATGACTTGAGGCTAACTCGCATCCCTACGAATCTGTCAACTGATACGCAGGTGTTACTGCTCCAAAGTAATGCCATTTCTTACACCAGCGGAGAACTGGAGGCGCTGTTCAACCTGACAGAGCTGGATGTATCCCAGAACAACTTCAGCACGGTGGAAGCTGTGGGCCTCACAGGCATGAAGCACCTGACCACCCTGCATCTAGAAGAGAACCATATCAGCCAGCTGCCAGACCACTGCCTTGGAAACCTCTCCAGTCTCCAGGAACTCTACATCAACCACAACCAGATAAGTTCCATCTCGCCTAGAGCATTTGCTGGCCTGCACAACCTGCTGCGCCTTCATCTTAACTCCAACAAGCTCCATGTCATAGACAGCCGTTGGTTTGAAGAAACACCCAACCTAGAGATCCTGATGATTGGGGAAAACCCAGTTATCGGCCTTCTAGACATGAACTTTAAGCCGCTTGGAAGCCTCAGGAGTCTTGTTCTGGCTGGAATGGACCTCACTGTTGTTCCAGCAAATGCATTTGTTGGTTTGGATACCTTGAAAGCATTTCTTTCTATGACAACAAACTGGTCAGAATCCCTCAACTGGCTCTTCAGAAAGTTCCAAATCTGAAATTCTTGGATTTAAACAAAAATCCAGTCAACAAAATCCAGGAGGGAGATTTCAGGAACATGTTACGTCTCAAGGAGCTGGGTATCAATAACATGATGGAGTTAGTTTCGATTGACCGCTATGCTATGGACAACCTACCAGAACTGACTAAGCTGGAGGCAACAAACAATCCTAAGCTGTCATATGTGCATAAATTGGCCTTCAGGGACATGCCCTCATTGGAGAGCCTGATGCTCAACAATAATGCCCTCACTGCCCTTTACCAGCACACAGTGGAAGTGCTACCTAATTTGCGAGAGATCAGTCTACATAGCAATCCATTGCGCTGTGACTGTGTAATTCAGTGGATGAGTTCCAACAGGACCACAGTACGCTTCATGGAGCCTCTGGCCATGTTGTGCAGCTCTCCACCAGAACTCAGAGGCCAGCACGTTCGAGGGCTAAAGCTGCTGGATTCCCCTGAGCAATGCCTCCCCCTAATATCCCACAATACCTTCCCAAGCCACTTGAACCTCGAGCTGGGCATGAGCATCAGTCTCGACTGCAGGGCCATGTCTGAGCCCGAGCCGGAGATCTACTGGGTGACCCCTCTTGGGTCCAAAATCACAGTCGACACTGTGTCAGAGCGGCATCACTTGAGCAGTGAGGGAACCCTTTGGCTGTCCCACGTTCAGGTGGAGGATTCTGGTCGTTACACCTGCGTGGCGCAGAACACGGAAGGAGCGGACACCCGAGTTGTCACTGTCCGCGTAAATGGAACCCTTCTTGACAGTGCCCAGGTGATGAAGATCTATGTCAAGCAGACTGAGTCGCACTCCATCCTGGTCTCCTGGAAAGTCAACTCTAATGTCTTGTCTTCTGACCTGAAATGGGCTTCAGCCACCATGAAGATTGACAACCCACACATCACCTACACAGCTCGTGTGCCTGTAGACGTTCATGAGTACAACCTAACACACCTTCAACCTGCTACTGAGTATGAGGTGTGCCTCACGGTCTCCAACGTACACCTGCAGACACACAAGTCTTGTGTTAACGTCACAACACGTAGCACTACATTTGCCTTGGACCTCTCTGACCAGCATCCAAGTGTAGCTGTGCTAGCTGTCATGGCAACCATGCTAGCCTTTCTCAGTCTGGGCACTGTGGGTGTCTACATGGCCCGTAGGTGGAAGAGAAAAAACTACCACCACTCTCTAAAGAAATACATGCTGAAGACTTCCTCCATCCCTCTGAATGAGCTTTACCCTCCTCTCATCAACCTGTGGGAGGCTGAAAGTGAGAAGGACAAAGACGCCGGCACAGAGGGAAAACCCTCTCCTGTTGATACAACACGTAGTTATTACATGTGGTGATGATTGAATAAGGAGGCCTTGCTGCCTCTCCAGCAGCACAAAAAGACACACTTTTGCCATTTTGGTGCAAAAGTCAAGTAAAATTGCAAAGTTTTTTTGTATTCTCAGCTTTGCTACAGAGGCAGAGTGATCAAGGACATGATTTTTATTAGTATAGCGTATCGCATTTATTTGATTCTTTCTATCTCTTTAATGGTTTTGAACTCTTGAAGATAGCAGCTGTATTTAGCCTGCAGGTTGTCTCTTAGTTGCTAACATTTTGTCCATGTGGTGCATTTCTGACTCACTTTTTTTTGAGTTAATTATACAGCAGCGGGGACTGAAGGAACTCGTGTAGCACTAGTGGAATCAGTGTTTCTTTGTAAGACAGGTAATCTGTTGTGCACTGATAGGTAATGAAGTTTGTCTGAACTTCAATTTAACGCTGACAGCAGGGTTTAGACTTTTTAAACTGTCAACTGAATGTTAGCAATTGTGCAGTAATGTTGTATCAACTATACCTTTGAAATTTGATTTAAATTACAAGAATAGGATTTTAGTTTGATTATATTGTGATATTAATGCTAGAAATACAAATGCTTGTTAAACATTTTTGAGTTACTTATTTTTATGGTGCACTAGTATCCTTTTTTCCCTTTCCCTGTTTAATCATCCAATTTTGCTAGAATTATTTGCTGTCTGCTTAGTTTATTATTTTCACATGCAATATGTATAGCCTACTAAAGAAGTTACAAATAAATAACTTTTGGGCCTTTTTTCAAGAAGTGTAGTCTTTTTTAAATTCCTGCTCTATTCTTAATCTTTCAGTTTTGACAGGCACACTTAGCGGTACTCCCTGAGGATACATGCACATGGTTTCATTTGGATCCTTAATCTTATTACTTAGAGGAACTTAAGCTGTGCTCAGTCCAAAACTGCCTGAATCAGCTTTTCACTGTCACGGCCCAGACTGCCCTGAACCATCGTCACAGACAGAACTCATACTGTGTCAGCTTAACTTCTCAAATATGCTCATATATTTGACTGACCATCAGACAAACAGACAGATGGATGGATCAGAGACAGTGTTAGAAAGATAAGATAGATATTTAAGCATGTGCTGCCCTCTGCTGGATGTCATTACAAATATATTACACCTTTTTATCCTACAACGCTGTAGTTGGTTGACATATACAATGCTAAAGTGACATTGATAACAAAGTATAGGTGAGGCAAGGCATTACTTTTAATAAATTTAAAGTCTCCCATACATGTGCAAAAATTACCATTCTGAGTCATATTATGCCAAAAAGAGCCACATTTGTCTTGTTATTCAAGACTCAAGACTGAATAAAAAGTGGTTCTTTTTGGACAACAGAAATCCCACAGTAAAATAAAAAATAAATTAAATAAAAAAATAAAAAAACACAAATTCACATCAAGACGAATGGAATTATGAATTATCCCATTTTTCAAGAAACATCTCTGAAAGCATCAGCATGTGAAGTTCTCATGGACTTTCAGTCTAAATCTCAGCAAGTCCTTGCTAATAATCAATACAATTGTTTTATTAAAAAAAACATTTTTTATGTCTTCTGTTTGTTTCTTTAAAAAAAATACAAAAATAATACCATTATAAAATTCCCTCTTCTGAGATGATCTACTAGAATGTAAGACATTTTTTACCTCCGGCCAGTCCTCTGTCATTCTCATCTTTAACTGCACATTAATGAGATGGCACTTAGGAATCCACTTTCACACTTTTTTCCACATCCAACATTGAGGCCAGAGATAAGCTTAAATAAAGGACACAGTGTTTCGGACACACAGCTGAGGTCACTGTTGTTCCTTAGAGACACAACGGAAACCAAGATTAGAGGCAGAGCTGTCCGGAGTGTTTTGGCTTCGGGCTGCACACCTGTATCTGTAACAGTAAGACTGGAGAAGAGGAAGAGGGGGGAACATACTGTTAATACATCAATTGTCTTAACTGTGCTTGAAAGCATAAAAAATCAAAAACTATAAAGACTAATACTCAGTAACTTCCTATTGTAGTCACAACTTTATTTCAGTTTCTTTTTTTGCTCATTCTGTACTGAGCATGTTTGTATGCATTCATTAAGCATTTCTAACTGTCATCCTCCCTCCAATCACATGGGTTATTCAAATGAAACAAGCAGATCTCTGTGCTCAGGACTTGTATAGCATGCATTCGGTCACATTCCCATGGCAACAAATGCTGGTGGCAGGCAAACTGAAATGGTCACCAGTGGGAGGTAAAAATAGTGTAGCACATAAAGTAAATGCACCACATGCATTAGTATGAGCACTATACTGTGTCAGGCTGCTGTGCCTGCACTAACAACAGGTGGAAAGTAACAAGCTCTACTGCATCCTTTGTAAATGTTTTTGTCAGAGTGTGTGTTGCCTTTTGTTGCTTTGGTTCAATACATACTACAAAAATGTTTAAATTTAGTCAGAACCGTTTCATTTAAATTGTTGCACAAAAGACCTATATGCATACAATAGTCTCACTGCCTGCCAAGTGAGCTATTTTAGCCTGAAATGTTTGCTGCAATGAGGATGTCAGAACGGAATGGCTTAAAAGATGGCCACTTTTTTTTCTGCAAGAGATTGAAAAGAAACTGTCATTGATTTAATTCTCAATATTCTGTCTAGGGTCCTAAACTATTATTTGGTTTCTGGTCTTTTTTTGTGTGCTAAATAATGGTGTCTTGTAAGCCTGTTTTAGGCATATTATTAATAAATAATTACAATAATGAAAACAACTAAAAAAAATATGTCACAAAAAATTCAGACTGCAATTTTTTTTCAAGGTTTCAATCAATTGATTCAATACAGCAATTACAATGTAGTAGCAGGGGTCTCATTTACCTTGTGACACATGTATGATCCTCCCTTCTTCACCTTGTCTGTGCCTGATGGAGGACCAGTCTGAAACAGAAATATGATGAAACATCAGGGGAAAAAAATAAACCTAATTAAACACAAAAGCTTAAAGATAATGTCTTCTTACTGGGTTTTGTTGGTGGTCAGTGGTATGAATCACAGTCCACCAGTCTGAGGTCCATTCCCACACATTACCCACCATGTCATACAGACCAAAACTATTAGCAGGAAAGGACATCACCTGCAGGGTACAGTGAGAATGGTGTCATATAAAAACAGTTCTGATAAAGAACTATATTGATACAAACCAGTTTTTGCTCAAATAGATATATAGAAGTATGGGAGTTGGTATTATTTTAGCTGACAGAATCACAAAAATACAATTTCCCTCAGCAAGCTCACACCTTCAAGAATGATGTGCATACCCTCCTGATTGATAATTCTATATTTGCTCTTAAAGTCCACCATTGTACAGAACAAAATTAATACCATCCAATTATTATTCATCTGATATCTGGTAGCTGCAGTTGTGACTTTATCAACTTCAGAGGCAAGCTTTTATCTCAGGCACCTTTCATTTCCTGTAGACTCTGTAGGCAGCAGCTTGATTATAATTCAGTTTCCAGTTTCACATCAATGGCTCAAGAATAGCTGAAGGGTCTTTATTGCAACAACTGAAGTAAGTCTACGTCTTTCCCTCTGGGTCCTACCGGTGAGGTTTTGTTGTATCCATCGTCCCCAGAGTTGTTGTTGGGGAAATCTCCCTGCCAGAGGTTGGCATAGTGTTCTCCTTTCGGGTACAACTTGTTTCCCCAGGGGTATAGTCTACATGAAGAGGAAGTACATCATGATATTCCACATGCGATGAAGGCCACAAGCACAGAGAACTCTTTTATAGTGGCATATCATATACAGTATGTATCTTACCTGTCTTTGAGGCCGCCTCTGCAGGCGTACTCCCACTCTGCCTCTGTGGGAAGCCTCTTGTTGGCCCAGGAGCAGTAGGCAACAGCATCCTCCCAGGACACATGGAGAACAGGATGGTCCAGCCTACAAACAAAACAGGTTTTTAAATTATTACTCGGCTTGATTTTTTTTTTCAGTTTGGGTCAGCCAAACCATATTCAGTGAAGCCTGACAGAAATCCTCCTTTTAGATTCAAAAATAGGATTAAATGTTTGCAAGTCTGTAAAATCATAATTCTTTAATTTTGTTTTAATTGTGTCTGGAAGTAGAGCTGTATCTACATGCTTCAAGTGAATAAAGTATGACAAAAAGAAGTGAATTTTACTCCGTCACTCACATAGGAACTGTGTTCATATTTTAAGACAAAGTTAAATAATGTTAGCTTTTAATTCAAATATATTCTTGAAAATATCATGGGGTTTCCTGTGTAGAAAGAGTATCTTCTGACCTGTCAGCTGAAGTTGAGTCTGGACCTTCTGGGTGCTTCCAGTCAGCTCCTTTGACTGGTAGCCACCAGGGGGCAGCAGCAACCTGGTTCAACAGTGACAGCAGCAGTGGTTAGTGACTGATATACGTATTATCTCTGTTGTAATTGTTGTTTTCTTTTCTCTAACAATCACACTTCAATGTCTATCTAGAATCTTAATTTTTGTACAGAATTGTATTGCTCTAACGTTCTCCAGTGTTGCTGACCTAATGGGTACAGAGCACCTCCTCAGCCGTAGGATCAGGCTGCACATGACAGCTGAGATGAAGCAGCTAATTCCTTGCTGTCTGGCTTTCGTCTACAGGAGGCCTGCTGTGCTCAGGCCTCTTCTAACCAATCTGTGAACCTTCTCAAAACTCTTAAATAAGAGCCTGAAGCCAAAGTATGTGCAACCCAGGGCGGGTACTTTGAAAGCCCTCCAGGTTGAGGCTTAGTGCACATCAACTGTTCTTGATATATTCAGGAGCATTATAGTTGGAAAAACACCAAAATATTATGACATTATAGAGATTTAACATTTTCTTTCACATTATAATTTTAATGAACAATAAAACATGTTTTTTCTTCTTTTTTTTGGAAAATCACTGCCATGTTTACATATTTACCAATAGGCAGGAAACATAACATTGTGCTTTAAGCACTTCTGCAACAGAGCAAATCTGACATAACTCCAATTTCTTCAGTACTAATACTTGAAATTTGTGATATAATTAAACAAACCATAGTATTAAAAATAACTGTTTTGAAATAAAACACTTCTGGCAGTCTATAAGACGATGTGAAGATAACTACATGAACCTGTTACAGGAAACATTTTTAAATGCAGTAGTTGTCCGAACTAGCAGTCAGTATTTTTCCCCAGACAATGTGTAATTTGTATCTATTAAATAGACGTGACAATACCAATGCTACATACTCATTTAGCATTAGAAACTGAGTTGTAAAGGTCATTTAACGATTGAAAAGTCATACTTACTGCTTGGGCAATTTGGTCTTTGACACTGTCACTCAAAAGTCCCTCGAATACAAACGAGTCTTTAAATATCTCTGCCTTTAAGAATGAAAACATGAAGAAGTAAAAACATTTAAATAACCATTGGCAAATATTTGCTTTTTATACTGGGTTTTTATGGAAGTGATATATTCAACACAATTTTAACAAATGAAAAACAGCTTATGATATACATGTATTCAATTGATTCTCAACCATGACATTTTAATTCTATAATTTAAAGGTAGCATATTATGCTTTTTCTGGTTTTATATGCCCTTCAGTGTGTTTTCCAAGTGTCCTGTGCATGTTTAGGCACATCTATGTGCAAAAATTCAAAGTCCGCGGAAACGCGGCTTCTCCTACGTCCTCCTGTTAGCTGTAGCATTAGCTGCATGTAACGCTCAGTTCTAGCCCCCCTCGATAAAAATTTGTCAGTCCGACGTCATTGTCACTGTGAGATCACTGAAGTCCATTGGCTCGTTGTGGTAAGCCCTGCAGCTCATGTTGAAATTTAACAAGAAGCGTGCTGAGCAACTGACCAATAACGACAGAGCTGATCGGCAGACCAATCAGAGCAGACTTGGCCCACGTGGGGTCTAACAGTGTGGGCTCAACAGAGTGCAGCTGATGGACTCAGAGCGGAGAGGGAGCAAGGAGGAGCAGTACATGAAAACAGACACTTTTTTCGGACTTTAGCTATTGTGAACATACAAAAGTAGGTACATAGATTAAATATACGAACCCCAAAAAGGGCAAAATATGATCTCTTTAAGGGATTGGCCTAGTGTGTGTGTGTAACATGCCATTTTTGAATAAGAAACAGGTGCAAATTGATGTCAGAGTTGTAGCTATTGACCAAAGGATGTGTAAAAAGTTCACTACAGAATTAACAGACATGATATATTCCTTAACACGTGTGTTATTACAATATAATGTGGAGACTTTATGATAATGTTACATGTTGTATTAGTATTTTAGCTAAGATAAAGTGATTATTCTGGGGACGCCGGTAGCCTAGGGGTTAGTGCGCGACTGTACGTGCCCCATGTAAGGAGGCTGTGGTCCACCAAGCGAGAGGCCTTAGTTCCGGCCTGTGGCTCCTTTCCTGCATGTCGTTCACCACTCTCTTTCTGACTCTATCCACTGTCCTATCTCAAATAAAGGCATAAAAAGCCCAAAAATTAATCTTTCCAAAAAAAAAAAAAAAGATGAAGTGATCATTCATACCTGAGTTTTGTATTCTCTGGCCTCAACAAAGTTCTGAAAGTGTCTGTTAGTAACTTCATGGATGTCCATGTAGAAGGAGTCCACATACACCAGTCTCTGAGGGCCCTCCCCATCAGCAGGGATGCCTGGGTCGTCCGTTCCCATCAGGAACTCTCCTCCAGGAATCAGCACCATCTGTATGAAAGGTATAACAGACAAGCAGCCCAGTTACTTTTGATCAGGTCCCAGAATGACTTATTCTAAGTACAGAGATAGATTTGGGTAGGCTGAACAAGCTTCAATTAACGCCGCAAACACAAGGGAAAACCCTACAGCAATAAAAGGCACAAATAATTATAGATCCAACATATCATATTATAAACAGAAACCAGGTACAGGAGTTAACTTCACTGAAGTTTTTAAATCCTGACTGTGTTGTTTTACCTTTTCTAACCAAACAAACATGACCACTGATTTGAAGTCCTAGAATCACACGTTTTCTTCAAATAGACAGATAGCCTACAGGTCTAAATAGTAGCAACCAAAATTCCACTTTCAGTATCTTTCTCAGACAATATAGCCAAACCAACCTGTGGTAAAGAGTGGTCTTATCATTTTATCACACTTCCCTCTTGTGCCTTCCTGTGAGCTGAAGGGAAACTGCGCATTACCCGAGAAAGTTTCAGTTTCAGAAGGACACATAGCATGAATTACAAATTAGACCCAAACAAAAAAGCATTTAGAGTGGACTATCAGGTATCCAAACATCCTTTACAACACAAAAATACAACCGCTCATGTTTACTTTATCTGATATTGTTTGAATGGTACCGTCACATCCACTCATACTTTCAGCTCAAATAAGAGGAAAACTGGCGGTGATTTAATGGCTTTTTGCTTCTATTCCCATGTATTAAGTCCTGTTTGGATGGTACAACAGACTGAACAATGAGAGCAGCGATATCTTTACCTGACTTTGAATTGTCTTCCCATTCCCCCGTGCCTCATACAGTCTCTCATTGGCGCCTTGGGAGTATTTGTGGGCTGCTGCCTCCGTCTTCTCCTCCGCCGGCCGCTCAGCAGCTGCTCTGCTCAGCTTGTCACAGCCGCAGCTCGACCCTGCCTGCTGGGCTGCAGATTCACACAAACACACACAACCAAAAACGAAGAGAAACGCCAAACTACTACGCACCATTCTCGCGGTACACGGCTCGGTCGGCTCACTCTCCGCTCATGTTGTTGTCACTTTCACTTCCGCAAAGTCACGTGGTCAGTCAGCTGGGGGCACTGTAACAAAAGTTGACTCTTTCGTGCCCGACTAGCCTACTGCATTTTTTTTTTTAAATATAGGCTACTTAAATAATGACAATAAAGTGACTTCAATTAGCCTACATTGGATTACTTTTTTTTATTTTATTTTTTACAGCCAATGGAATTATTCACTCGAAAACTGAAAAAGTAGCCTAACAGGCCTACACAAAAGAAGGGGGTGCTGTTGGCAGCTTTTGTCAGATAATTTTTTTTTTTTTGCTCACCTTATCAGTCAAGTCTTAACAGTGGGCGAGATAATATAATTCAGATTTTCCTTACTGGAGGGATGTCACTACATGGACATCATTTCCCAGCTTTTATCACTACCACCGCCTGAGACGAGGAAGAAGAAGACGAGGAAGAAGTGGCAGTGAGCCAGGCAGCTCAACCAACCAGTGTGCTGCCTTGCCTCAGTGAACGCAGCCCCGGAGCACCAAGAGGCGCAGAGAGGTGCGACAGCTGTCAAAAAAAAAAAAAAAGAGACATAAACAGGATTATTAGAGTCGCCGACGGCTGAAGCTCGCCCTCGGCCCGTCGGAAGAAGGAAAGCCGCAGTCATGCTCTCCTAGCTGCTGCAGAGAGAGCTGAACACCGCAGCGTTTATCACAGTCGAGGTAAAGTTGCGCGCACAACTTGTTCACTTCACCCATCCTCCTCTTTTCCTTTTTCTGTCTTCTCGCAAGGGAGAAAATGTTTGCTTTGCTCGTCTTTAATAGTTTAGAAAAATGCGCGTTGTTCATGAGCAGAGCTTGTGATGCCTTCAGTGACACTCTACAACCCCCCCCCAAAAAAAACAAAAAAACCCGGCAAGACAGTGAGCATGATGATTATTTCGGTTTGCGGTGAAACAGTGTGATTGCGGATGGCGACTGAAAATGACAGTTTTCGACTCGTTTACTCAAGTTCCATGTGTTAAAAGTGTTCAGAAAAGCGTCCATGTAGGCAGTTTAGACTATAGCAGAAAAAAAAAAAAGTCTTCATGTATGTCTTTGGATTAGGCTTCCCACAAACAATATTCAGTTAAAGCCCGTTAGTTTATTTTCCATCATTAATCGACCTAAGGGAGAGGCAGTGCTTCAAAAGCAGGCAGATAAACTGAGTGAAGTGGACCAGCATTGCTTACACACAGACCCAGCCTTGGCACAGATGACCTGTTGCAGGTGCACAAACCTTCCTTGTAGCTGAATCATTAACTGTCCAGTCGAAAGCTACAAAACAAACAGGTTACAGTTTCATCAACCAAAATATTTCCCTGCTGCTTGTATGCAAATCCAAGGTAACAGACAGATATAGTCTCAGTGTATAGTGTAGTCCTCTCAGGGGAGGGGGAAGCCTCGCTTTTAAAAAAAAAAAGTGACACTTCACATAACTGGGTACTCTGTAGCTGCAATAATTTCACATTAAGTGCCAGATGAATCCCCAAATAATTATTTTATAGATTAAGTTAAACATGATAATTCAAATTAGGATTCTTCATACCTCTTTAAACGTTTGGCATTATAACATTACATTTATTTTTTCGCATAAGCAACTCAGTTTGAACCCTTTTCTCTGCTGTAGGTGTCCTCTTCCTGTGTCAACATGTCGGATAAGATGTCCAGCTTCCTGCATATTGGGGACATCTGCTCCCTGTATGCAGAGGGATCCACCAACGGTTTCATCAGCACCCTGGGGTACGTGCATCCATCTCATTGGCTGAACATATCGTGTGTGTTGTCCTGCTTCACACTTCTATCTACCACAAGTTGGGAAGAATTTAGAAGGGGGGGGAAGTCACACTAGTACTGGCAACTTTTTGTAAACATTTTTCCAAAGTTTCCATGAATTCATGGCAAATTGGGACTAAAGTAATGAAGGGGAAAACAACAACATCCTTGCAGTTTATCTGAATCATCAAAGCTCTGGGAACAGTTTGAGGCCGTTTGAACTGGTCCTCCTGTGGCCATGGCTGACCCTACCACTGATAGTGCCGGAAGAAATGGAAATGTAGGGGCAGGGAAACGCACAGATAATGACAAGTGTGTATGTTTGTGAGAGTGTGGCAGGAGTGGGTGTGGAGTGCTCAACAACAATATTGGTTAAACTGCTTGCAAGCGTCTCATTCACCCACACAGTCACGGTTATATTTTGTTGTATTTCTTCATCAGTTGTACCTCATATTTGGAGTCAAGTATGAGCTGATTTTTAGGAGTAAAATGATCCTGTACTCTTTGTGTAGGGATTGAAAAATAGCCCTAGGAATTGATGTGTTGGCTTTCATATCACAGAAGAAGCTTGTTGCATTTGACCTTTGAAAATCCTCTTTTGCTCAAAATGTAGAGAGCAAAAGAGTTATCGTACATGAATGTTTTGTTTTGTTGTCACAAGAGGATATCTAGCATCAGTAATGCTGTCAGTACTGTCACTGTCCAGGACCTCCACCCCTGCTCATAAAAAATGGAATGACCTGCAGCAAAGACTGAGTCACTGTACAGACATTGTGGCCTTTTCTCGAGTTCCAGTTCTTCCCACACACACACAGACACACACACACACACACGCGCCACACACATACACAGACACACACACACACACACACATTCACACTCACACACGAACATACAAGTGCATGTATTCACTAAACTGTCATGACAGTTTTGGAAGGAAGCCATATTCTCCACGCACAACCTACAACTCAGCAGCCTTCTCCAGATCCTCTGCCCTCAGAGGAAGAAACTATACTGAGAATATTGAGGGGAGAGAAACTCTTTGAGCATTATAACATCTCCAGCTGAGCAGCATTCCCTTCCACTGTTTGGTAACAGGAGAGGGGGTCCATTAGCAAATCAAAGGTTAACAATGTGAAAAATGCTGCTTTGCACTTCAGTAGGACCTGTCCTGTTTGCTCAAATGTGTAACTACTAACTAGTGTTAATGAATGACCTGTCCTGCAATGATCAACAAGTTATGTGTGTATTTTTCAAACATGCAGATGATTATACACACACACACTGTTTAGTATCTACTAAGCACATACAAATAGTGAATTTTTTTTCTTATTCTAAGTCTTTCCTCGAGGTGTCCAGACTGGACAAGCAGACAGGTCTGTTTGGACAACTGTACACATTCCCCAGGAAAAGGACTGAAATGGATGTGGGATTTGGCTTGTGTCCAGACAAGTGTTATTTTAACTTGTAAAAGCTAAGCATGTCACCAGAGAGTCCAGCCTGCCCACATGCAGGTCATCTAATCCAGAATGATTTCATTATTGTGGAGGGTGGGGGACAAAAATGTGAGAACTCTCAATATGAATGGGATATGTCAAGGTATTGTGTATTCAGCTGTCTTTTTGGTAACCCCTTGGATGGCGGTTACTACTTAACACACTCTCAGGGCTCAGAGAGATACATACCCCTCGTTTAGATACATAAGGTAAACTAGCAATACATTTCCATAAATCAAAACAGTTTGGTACTTTATCAAGCAAATATAACAAACATGAAATGCTTCCAGCTTTCCAAATGTTAAGATCACAGCTTTCTTAAAATAGAGATAGGACGGACTCAATTTGATATCGGTATCTGATCCGATATTGACGTTATACATATTGGATATCAGACGACTGACGGTGCACATCCACGTCACTGATCAAGAAAGATCTTTGGGCACAAATTGTCATTCTCGCACTGTCTCGCTTTGAAGACATTCAGACTGAACTGTGAGCGCTCACAAATCGTCTCCAGCTGGACGTTCAGACGAAATTATAAAAAAAAGTATCATTTTTGCACTTCAGTTTAAGAAGATTGAATATGAAAACCTGACAGTTGTTGCTGCTACCTGCTTGTATGTGCAGCCAGCTCAAAGTTTAAATACATTTCTTTGGATTGATTTTATTTTCATGCATTTTTATTATTTATTTATTTTTGCAAAAAAATGCAATGCTGGGTTTCCTATAGCTTTGTGTAGTCTTACATATAATACTAACAACAACCAAAACACTTTTAATGTATCAGATCAAAACTGAAAAAGAGCGGATCAGTGCATCTCTATCTTTAATAAATCTTGTGTTACTACAAATGAAATAATGTTGTAGTTTGAATATTTTAAAAGCGCAATTTTTACAATTTGTTGACACAAAAAGTACTGCATTCAACTTAAAAAAAATAATTCCATAAATAAAGGCTACAGCTTAAACCTATTTTCTTTTATCTCTGGATAGTTTCCTGATTATTTTCTGTGTGTAGCCGATTCATATTTTTGTCCCATATCCAGCAACAACATTGTTAAACCTAATGCCCAACATAGAGTCAAAATTAACTGTTTAAAAGTCTTGTTTTGGTCGACCAACATGTACAAAACTCCAAGAATTCCAGTCAAACTGAAGTTTTGCTGAAGAAAACGTCTTTGAAGATAAGTTGCTTATAAAAACAAATGCTGTTCTAAAACAATTCATGCTTTATTTCCATAGTAAAGATATCGGATCTTAGACTATTTCAGTTTAAAAAAAAAAAAAAAAAGAAACCTTGCAGCTGATTGTACCATCGGTGATCAATAGAACAATACATAGTGTACCTGCCAAAGTACACTAAATAAAAGTGTAAGAGCAAAGACCGATAGGTTACTGCAGGTGTGTGTGTCCTGTATCTAATACTTTTTGAATGTGTGTATCCATAGATTGGTGGATGACCGCTGTGTGGTCCAGCCTGACGCAGGGGACCTCAACAACCCTCCCAAGAAGTTCAGAGGTAAGAGACACACAGAGCGGACTCCTGAGGCCTGACATCACCACACTAACTGCTGTGTGTTTATACTGAGAGGCTCTGCTGAATGTGTTATGCTGTGTTTCTTTGGTGACAACCACAATATCTCTGCCCACAGGACTTCAAACAGGCCTGCCTTTGACAATGTTAATGGTGTGTGTGTGTGTGTGTGTGTGTGTGTGTGTGTGTGTGTGTGTGTGTGTGTGTGTGTGTGTGTGTGTGTGTGTGTGTGTGTGTGTGTGTGTGTGTGTGTGTGTGTGTGTGTGTGTGTGTGTGTGTGTGTGTGTGTGTGTGTGTGTGTATGTAAAGGAAGATGAGAGAGAGAGGGAGCTGTAATGTAGAGTTGCTGGAAAACAACACAGTTGAAGAGCTTCTTTTTGAGATGCCTCTTTGGGTGAACCCGCTATTATTAGCTCCCATACAGGAAGTAGAACTCATGACCCTCAGTTCTCAGGCTGGAGGGTTAATTCTCTGGGGAGAGCTGGTCCATTATAGTACAAAGAGTATGAGTGTATTGAAGGCTTGTGT